TCGTCGTCGCCCCGCCAAGCCGCCCCTTAAAGGCAGGCGACCTCAGGGACCGCGGCCGACTTTTTCCATCTGTCTGGGAACGAGAGTTCACGACCTCGAGGAACCCGAGTCGTGGGATGCCGTGGCCTCCTTCTGCGAAACGGTGATGACGCAGAAGGAGGCTGCGGAGAGAGGTCAAATGAACATAAATGTTAACTTTATTGTACATATCACCCCCGCAGGGGGGTACCCTGAGCTGGTTTACCATTACTGAGTGGGGTGACGTTCCCTCCAATGGTAGTGGTGTTGGTGTCCACCCACGCACATCCCACCGATGATGTTAGACGGTACCTCGGGCCGGCCGGCCTTTCCAAGCCACGTCGGGGGCTGTGGCGGGCATTCCGCCCTCCCCTGACCATCCGGGCTGGGCCAGCAGCCACGCGCACAGCACACGTTCGCCCCAGGTCTTTTATTGACGACGATAACACACAACCTGGAACGATGATTTTTTTCGCGAACGGGCCGACACAGCCGCGGGAGGATATCGTGTTTGCGCGGTTTTCTATCGACGGACCGCCGTCGCGAGTGGCAAGGTATCGTGCAACACGTGAGATATTTCTATCTCAGGAGGGTGGTCGGGTCCTACCTGGGAGGCAGGTGTCTGGAATACGGGAGCATGAGGATTACCTGGAACTTACCTCTTGGATGTTCAACTGGACTCTGATGAGATGGCTTCTCTTGGCGTTGGGGCTGTTCAGAGGGGCTGGGATGGCTGGCGATGATCCTCACAAGGGCCCTGAACGGGCGGACGACCTGTACCCCTTGAGGGTCTAGTCGGACGACCGCGTTGATTGGGCGTATCTCATTCCCACGCCCCATGTGGGGCCTTGCGGGTAGGCCTCTCGGTAGTAGACCGCACGTTAAACTGCAACCTGATAGTGCACATATCACCAAAAGAACATTACATCATGAGTCGTTCGTATCATATATTTTTAAATTATAGCTAAGAGAAATTTGAAATATCTCGCATTTTTGGAAAAATTCATTGCTTTTGAGCTATTTTAAATATCCCGCATTTTCGGGAACATTCATAGATTTTAGCTATTTCAAATATCCCGCTATTTGACACTCAAGGTTACTTAGTCTTTTGTCCGACGCTAGGTGTTGATAAAATTTAATATAAGACTTCAACTTCTGATATATATGTTCTGTGGTCTTCGGCGTCTTCGGGAAGCTCGAAACGCTATCGGGCTCATACTCATAACTACTTTCAGTCCAGCTTGACAAAGTTCCGTGTTATTCTGTAGTTTCGTTCTATTATATTATCGCCACTGCGTCTGGAGAGATTTTGCGATCGACGTTAAAATACATATTTATCATATTTATAATAAGAGTTCAAACTACTTTAACCAAGTATCCTGTCTACCATATCGATTCTATAGGTAAGTAAACCCTGAAACGTTTTATTTATGTAATTTAAATTAATTAATTATTATTAATTAGTATTACCCGTGGTGTTTTATTTTTTTCAATTAAAAACGAAGACCTACCATGGCGTCAACTAGTAAAGACGTTGGACCAAAGAAGAGAAGAATCACAGAAGAATTGAGAAGTTTTCAAGACAGGTGGACTATAAACTATTTTTTCGTGGAAATTAAAACA